CTCAGATCAATTGTGCAGGGATGGTGTGATTGAGGACACTGAGACTCAGGAAGAGAAACAGTTTACCAAATGTAAATTAGAAGTAGGAGAGCAGATATGTGGATATATACAACAACATGAACAAGTCTCATGGCTATTGAGCTGAGCAAAAGAAGCCAGATATGATAGACTACACTGTATGATTATGTTTGCATAAGTTCGAGACAGGGCAAAACTAGTACATTCTCATAGAAGTCAGGAGAGTAGTTACTTTTATGAGGGGGGTTTCACTAGGAGGAGGTATCAAGGAACCTTCTTGGATGCCTAGAAATGCTCTAGGTCTCGACAGAGGTGTAGTTCAAAAGTATATACATACTTAAGAACTCATTCAGCTGCACAAAGATTTGTGCCCTTTTCTGTATATAAGTTATATCTAATAAAACAGTTAAAAAGTAAAAGAAGGCAAGAGGAGTTAGAATTTAGCTCTGTTTAGTTCCACAGCTCCTGTCTTTCCACTACATACTCTTTCAGAAATCAGTTTCAAGTTTCTTTGTTCAACACAGAATCTTACCCATTTTTCTAGGATAGTGTACAGAAAAGTCCCCACAGATAACTTTCTAAACTATTGCAAGTAGGCTCATATAGTAAATAATGTAGAGTACAAGCAGGTTGTTGATGAAAGGATGACGTAATAAGCTGGAACTCATCTATCAGGGGCTTTGTGAACCTTGTCCAAGGAAAGGGTTTGGATTTTATTTATATGGGAACCACTGAGGGATTTTATATAAAAAGTTTTATGATCCTATTTGCTGTTGTGGGTGAAATGAGTTAGAAAGAATGGATGGGAGGAGAAACAGCCTAGGAACAGAGAGCAAGTTAGGAGACCATTGTGAACATCTCTGCAAAAGCAGGTAGATCTTGGATTGAGTCGTAACAGTGTGGTTGGCAGATGAAATAAAAAGATTTGTTAAAGAGCCAGGTGGATGTTGTAATCAGTTGGGTGTGGGCAATGGGGGACAAAGAGGAGCTGACTGAAGTGGCTAGGTGGACTGAGCCATAGCAAGGCAGAACCTATTCAACCACCAGAAAGACAGGGACAAACTCTATCATGCTGGGGGGAGGCTAAAGCTAGGCAAGTTGTCAGGGCTCTAGCCAGGTGATTTGGGACTCCAGGAAGGGGTCTGGTCCTTTGGACACAGACACCCACAACCTGAAGACTATGTGAAGATACTGGGAGAAAACGGCCATCTGTAAGCCAAGCAGAGAGGCCTCAGAAGAAACCAAGCCTACAGATACCTTGATCTTGGACTTCTAGCCTCCAATTGTGAAAAAAATAAGTTTCTGTTGTTGAGGCCACCCATTCTGTGGTACTTTGTCATGGCAGCCCTAACAAACTAATTGTCAACCTGGACCCAAGTCCATTCAAATGGGAAAAGGCACAGGCTGTGGGTTCTGGGGGCTAGATCATGAGGCTCAGAAAGCAGACAGGGCCATCAGGGTCCAATGGATAGTGATCTTCTAGCCAAGAACTGGTTCCAAATCTCATGTACTGGTAGGGATGGGGCTTCTAGTATTCTTCTAAATGCAATTCTCATTGGCTCAAAGACAGGACAGAGCAGAGCTATCGGTGAAGAGTCTTCAATTCTGACGTTGGGCAGAGTTGGAAGTAAGCAGGGGCTATCTCGACTTTTAAAAATAACTAACTGGATATCAACATAGAGCAAAAAGGTATGCTAGATCTAGTCAGAATTGATGCAATAAACAATTAAGATATTTATGTGTACTTGCAAATTCGTTAGATATTAAATTAAGATATGTGTATGTGTGTGTGCATTCACGTCTAGTCTACATACTAAGCCGTTCACTTCTCTTTGCTTTTGCATGCTCTGCCACAGATCAGCTACTGTCCTTGCTCCCTTGGGTCACTACAATTTTCTCCTAGTTGGTTCCTCTCTTTCAGTGTTGCTCCCCAGTAATGAGGATCAATGGCAGATCATTTGAGGCATGAATGGGTGCATTGCCACGATTTTCTCATTTGTCTGTGTACATTTGCCAAGGAAAGGAATCACCTAGAAAACCTTCTTGACTCCTTGTTCTAGTTTCCTAAGTCGGTTATGAAGAATGGATTCTTCCTTTCCAGGTACATTCACAACCGTCCTTTGTTTTACATTGCCACATATACTAATTCAGGCTCTTTTCGCATCCTGCCTGAACTGCAATAGCCCCTTACCCTTCTGCTTAACCCCTGCCTCCTCCTCACTGCCTGTATCTAGCCTACACAAAATCTTTAAAAGACACCACTTTGACCACAAGGCCGTTTTTCTACTTGTTAACCTTCAATAGCCCCTGACTGCTTATAGCAACAAATTCAAACACTCCTCAGCCTAATGTTTAAGGCTTTGGGAATCTGACCTCTTCTAACATTTTCAGTCTCATTTTTAACCATCCTAGCTTCCCAAATCCTCAAACGAATGGTTTCAGGCATTGCCCTCCACCATGCCTGCCACACAGCCCTGCTTCCTACCCCTAGCTTTTGCACATATGTTTTTATTCCTTACCTTCTTTTCCATGCCTCATTTGTCAAATCCCAGACACTTGTATTTTTAAGGATTTTATTTATTTATTTGAGAGAGACAGAGACAGAGCACAAGCAGTGGAAGGAGGCAGAGGGAGAGGGAGAAGCAGACTCTCCACTGAGCAGAGAACCCAACTAGGGACTGGATTCCAAGGCCCTGGGATTGTGACCTGAGCCCAAGGCAGACGCTTAATCGACTGAGCCACCCAGGCGCCCCTCCCGGACACTTTTGTTTACTTTTCTCCTAGTGTGACATGCATTCTTCTCTGCTGACACGTGCTACCCATCTTTCACTGCCAACCATAATTTCTGCCTCATCTTTGAAGTCCTTCCTAACCACCCACGCCGGCATTCAGCCATTATGTACCAGATATTGTCTAAGCCCTAGAGGTCATGCTTGGATAATACAGATTTCTTCATTTCCGGGACAATGTGCTCTCCTCCTCTTTTTGTTCCCATTGCAGTTATGGCTCAAAGATTTGCCCATTAATAATGTGATATCTTAGGAAATTTCTTCTGTTTTGAAGTACCAATTACATTTCTATGATTTAACTTTTAATAAATAACTTATCTTTCTCAGGTATATTATAAAGACTGTGCCCCCAAATGATCTTATTTAGCATGAGACCGGAGAGGGGTACACTGTTATGTACCAGGTACTGAGGTGCTGCTAGTGCTTCTCATAGTGTGGCATGTCCAGCAGTCCATTTTATGGGACACACAAAACCCTCGATTTTACAGATATTATTGCGTAGGGTGAGGTTAATGTGGATAGTGCCCATGTAAGTTTTTCTTTGAGTTGATTTAGATTAAAAATCTTAAATAATAACGGTTCAAGTGATACTTAGTTATGGCAAAAACTGTAGAAGTGGTTTTTCAATGGCTGAAACAGTGTTAAATGATACCACATTTATTCCTCACAATGATTTTACAAATTAGAAACTAAAGTCTAGAGAAACGTTGGAATTTATTCAAGTCATAAAGCCAATAGGTTGTGATGCAGGATTCAGGTAGAGGTACTTAGGTCTCTGACTAAAGCTCCTGGTGATGCCCTTTTGCATATAGGAAGATTTAGTTTACCTAAGTGTGAGTGTCTGGCTTGTGTTTTTATACCCCATCTCATCTCCTTAAAAAGATTTATTACCTAAACGAAATACTCCACCTCCAGAAAAAGAAAAGGGGCACCAGAATGAATCTGGTATGTTTCAAAACACATTTATAAAACACACGAGAAAACCGACCTGCTTTCCTGCCTGGCTGAGTGAAACATTAATTCTTCACCTTGGCATCTCAACCTACAGCTGTAATAAGGGCCGTTATGCCCAAATAGGCCCTTAAACGGAAGACCTGCTGAGCAGAGACCCACTTTCCCAGCCCTGCTCAACTGCGGCTGCTTTTTCTGCCAACTGACCAGGCTGAAGCAGCAGCAGGGGAGGAGGGACTGCAGGTAGGTGGGGAGGGGATCATTTTGAAAGCTCTAAATCCCTCCCAGGGAAGAAGCAGCTGCTCCTTGTTTTTCTAACATCTGTCCCATCTGTCCCGGCCGCACTTCACCCTTTGGAGTCTCCAACTAGCAAAACGTGGATGTGACAAGGAAGCATTTCTGAAGGCTGGTTGGTGAGTGGAAATGAGCATAACTGCCACCAGAAAGTTTCCTTTAACGAGAAGAGGGCAGTTGGGGTTCTTCAGGAGCATAGCTATCACCTTCCTTCATTTTTCTCAAAAACATACAGCTTTAATTGACAGAGTCGGGATTTGTAACATCACCCAAATCAGGCTGTGCCTTAGGCCCCTAAGAATAATATTTGCTAGCGCCCAATTTTTTATTTCTCCTCCAGGGAGCCACAGGCTGCTGATTTGTGGGAGAAATACTGATACTGCACAAACTATACCACCTCTATAGTAGAACAAGCTGTGCATATCTCGCATGTGCGGAGTTCATCACATTTAACAGCGTGTTGCTTTTATCGGACTCTCCTGCCGACACGATACTACTGGAGGATAGGGACCTTATTTTTATTCAATTATTTGCCCCTCGTATTTAGAACCCGTGGCTGGAACCTGACAGGCATAAAATAGACATTTATGAATGAATGAACGTTCACGAAGAAAAATAAAGGAACAGGATGATTCATTCCGTTCTCCAAAGGCGGACGTGGAGGGAGGGGCTTGGCCGTGAACCTAGTCGCCACGTGAGGCGCACTCCCAAAGGCCCACAGCTTCGGCTCTGGTCTCCGCAGACCCGAGCCTGCAAGCGGGCGCTCACGGTTCTTCCCAAGCCCGGCTGCGCGCGTCTGAAACAGTCCCGCCTCCAAGGCACGCGAGGTCACACCCCCTTCCCGGTCGTTCCCTGGGAGATGGCCGTTCCCCTTCAGTTACAGGCTTCGGGGCGGGGTCAGGAGAGCGCAGGCGCAATGGGCGGCGGAAGTAGCGAGTAGGGAGATAAGAAGGAAGGAAAGAGGCCTGCCGCGCTCTGCGGAGGGCACTGCGCTCCTCCTCCACCGCCTCTTCCTACCGCGGGAAGCTCTGGGCGGCCGCACGTGCCGCCCAGCCCAGGCTCCTCCCCTCCCTCCCCTCCCTTCCCCCCGCCCCGTCCGGGAGCGGCCGGGAGCTGCTTTCCTCCGCCCGCCGAGATGGCGCTCGACCCCGCAGGTACGGGGGCGGGACGCGGGGGTTGCTGAGGAGTCACGGCCGGCTCCCTAACCGCGGCTGTGCGGTTGGGGGCCGGCCTGGGGAAGGGGCCGAGCGCTGAGGTTGCACCGTTTTCGGAGACGTCCGCTCACGCCCGGCCGGCCTGCCGCCTTAGGGTTTCTGGCAGCCCCAACTTCTTCCCTGCAGTCTTCGGTCTTCTTCCCGCTCCTTGGGGTTCGGGTTAGGTGAAAGGCTTGGCTTTGCTGTATAAGCTCTCGTCCATTTGTGGCTTACACACATTTCCTTCTTAACGCGACTGGTCTTTCCATCTTTTTCGCCCCTCTGGGGCACTGATTCCTTTAAGTATCTGTAATCTAACTTAAAAGCGGTAATCCAAAAGACCCATCATTGTGGCAAGAGTCCGTTTCTTGAGAAAGGATCCCCAAGGTTTTGATCAACGTTATTTTTAACTTTAGTGTTTCCACCCCACCTGCATTTGCAGCGGTAGTTTCAGTTTCCCTCGAATTCCCGTCCTTACAGAAGCTCACCTGCCGTGTCCTTGCTTTAAGCTATTTATGTTACGGAAGCTCACCTGAGGTATCTTTATAGGGTATTCATGTAAATATAGGGAACTTCATTTTTGAAGGGAATGGTAATTGGTCTAGTCCACTCCCTGCATTTTATGAATATGGAAACTTGAGGCATTGGGAGGAGTAGTAATGGCTTCAAACCTTCGGAGATTCAGAAATGGAAAAGTCACTTTGGTGGCCCTCAAGGAGAGCGGAAAGTGTAGGTAGCCAACAAGTAGTACTATTTATTGAACGCTTTATTATCAAGCTAAGTATTCTCAGTTGTCCAACAATAGTGTGTGGTGTGGTAGATAGTATTATCTCCCTCTTACGGATTAGGGAGCAGGTGGAGAGAGGATCAGGGACTACTCTAAAGCATAAAATAATTTCTGGAACACCTAATAATCATACCAATATTGGGCCAGGTGGTTGGATTAGACTTTATGAGGCAGTTAACAATTGATCTGGGCTTTAAAGGATAATTTCCAGTGGTTGGAGTTGGAGAAGAGGCGGCAGGATGAGGAAATGTATGGGCAGTAAAGTGCACTGTGTGAGGTTTGGTCGCAGGGTGTAAATAAGGGGTGGGTAAGGAAAATTAGAAAGTGGATTAAGGCCTATTGCAGTAGCGCCACACCCAGAGTGGAGCCCATAGTGGGGCTTGAACTCACAACCTGAGATCCAGACTTGAGCTGAGATCAAGAGTTGGGAACTCAAGCGACTGAGCCACCCAGGTGCCCCATAGTTCTAGTATTTTGAGCTGAAAGGGATATTCAAAGCAGTCTCATACAAATGAGGAAACGGACACAGAGAGAGGTCAAAGACTTTCAAATGTCTATATTCTTGAATTTAGATCCACGAGAAAATTTAGAAAAAAGTCATACTTGCCGTCTCCACTTTTTTTTTTTTTTAAAGATTTTATTTATTTATTTGACAGCCCGAGAGCACAAGCAGGGGGAGCAGCAGAGGGGGAGAGAGAGAAGCAGGCTCCCAGCTGAGCAGGGAGCTGGACGTGGGGCTTGATCCCAGGACCCTGGGATCATGACCTGAGCTGAAGGCAGGCGCTCAACTGACTGAGCCACCCAGGTGCCCCATTTACTTTTTTACTGTCGACTTACTCTTAACCCACTCAAATCTTATGGTATGCCCAAGGCTACCCAGCTAATTGCTGGTAGAGTCAAGGCTGGAATAGAACTCCATAATTCATTTCCAGGCCAGTGTTACAGACCCTGCCTCTGTTGGAGTATTTATTGATTAAGCAAATACATGCCCGTTACATGTCACAAGCATACAGTGTTAGAAGAAAGAAGGCAGCCCACCCCTATGCCCCCATATACATTTTGCCGGATTATGATAAACATGACAGTAGGTGGTGAAGAGAGGACTACCTCCGAGTGATCTGTGAAGAGCTCCATGAGGAAGTGTTGTTTGAATTGGAAATCTGAAGGACAAGATGAAGTAGCAATATGAAGAGGTAGGGAAAAAGTACGCCAGGCAGTCCGAAGTAGTAAATGCTTAAACATTTGCCTGGAATGCAGGTCAGAGTGGTGGAGTTCCGTAAGGGAAGATGTTGGGGAAGTAGGCAGGAGCTTGATGCTGCAGGGCCTTGAAGGCTCTGATAAGAAGGCATTTGGAAGCTTCTAAAGAGGGCAGTGACATAAATTATGTCTTTACTACCCTGACTGCAGTGGTAGCATGCACTATGGAGGGGTCCTGAGTGGAAGCAGGGAGACAGGATAAGAGATGGTGGCAGTAGTCCAGGCCAAATATGTTAGTATCTTAGCCTGGAATGGTATTAGAAAAGCTGGAAAAGAATATAAAGCTTATTCGGTTGATGTTTTGAAGGAGCAGTTGAGCTGCTGTTGCATTGAATAAAGGTGGTGAGGGAAAGGGAGGCATTAAGGATAATTAGGTTTTTTACCAACTGGGTGGCTGGTGATGGTCAAATCTAACAGTATGATCATTGGAAACTTGATAAAAGCAGGGATGGAAGCAAGATTGAATGGGAAGGAAGAAAGTGGAGTCAGCAAGTTGGAAGTTTTAAATTTTTCTTACCTGTTTAAATTCCGGAATAAAAATACTAAAGCCAGTTTTGTGTTTTTTTAGCTTCATTTTTGTTTGGGTCCTGAGTTGAAGCATAGGTTCACATTTTGATATTTCTCTTGCTTTTTATACAGTGGTAGATGCCCATACTAGTAGTTACATCAGATGAGGTTTATATAGCAAAGTCTCTTTTCCACTGGTTTATGTTAGATTTTTAAAAATCTTTTATTAAGTTTTTAATTTTAATTCCAGTATAGTTGACACAGTGTTATATTAGTTCCAGGTGTGCGCTATAGTGATTCAGCAATTCTATGCATTACTCAGTGCTCATCAGGATAAGTGTACTCTTTAATCCCTATCACCTATTTCATCCATTCCTCCACCTACCTCTGGTAACCGTATGTTTGTTCTCTGTAGTTAAGAGTCTGTTTCTTCATTTGTCTGTTTCTCTTTTTTTTCTTTTTTGCTTGTTTTGTTTCCTAAATTCCACATGAGTGAAATCATATGGTATTTGTCTTTCTCTGACTGACTTATTTTGCTTACCATTATACTCTCTAGCTCCATCCATGTCGTCCCAAATGGCAAGATTTCATTCTTTTTTATGGTTGAATAATATTCCATTTTGTATGTATATACCACATCTTCTTTATCCGTTCATCTATTGATGGACAGTTGGGCTGCTTCCATAATTTGGCTATTGTAAATAATGCTGCTGGAAACATAGGGATGCATGTATCCCTTTGAATTAGTGTTTTTTGAATTTTTTGGGTAAATACCTCGTAGTGTGATTGCTGGATTGTAGGGTAATTCTATTTTTAAGTTTTGGAGGAATCTCTGTACTGTTTTCCATAGTGGCTGCACCAGTTTGCATTCCCACCAGCAGTGCATGAGGGTTCCTTTTTCTCCACATCCTCTCCAACACTTGTTGCATGTGTTTTTGATTTTAGCCATTTTGACAGGTATGAGGTGATGTCTTATTGTAGTTTTGATTTGCATTTCCCTGATGATGAATGATGTTGAGCATCTTTTCACGTGTCTGTTGGCCATTTGGATGTCTTTGGAAAAATGTCTATTCATGTCTTCTGCCTATTTTTTTAATTGGATTATTTGTTTTTTTGGTGTTGAGTTGTATGAGTTCTTTATATACTTTGGATACTAAACCCTTATCAGATGTGTCATTTGCAAATATCTTCTCCCATTCAGTAGGTTGCCTTCACTGGTTTATGTTAGATTTTTAAAGATCTTTATACAAGTTTGATCTAACTAACTTTGTAGGGTCCATTTTTCTCAAGAAACTCTGAACTCAGCATTGAAATGCAGGTTATATACTTACTCTTCTATGTAGTTTTATTGAAACTATTTTTCTTTTTGTTAATGTAGAGGTAATAAGGGCACTCTGTACATTTTTCAGCTGTAATTATGTTCATTATTTTCTCTTACTATTTGAATGCAGAGAGAAAAGCTGGAGGGAGTCCACAACACCCAAGAAAAGTGGCTGTGGAAAGAGATTAATATTTGTAAAAACTACTCGTATGTGGGTTGTTCTCCCGGATATTCAGATTTAATTCACTAAGCCTCTGACATTTTAAGTAGTCCATAGACAGTTCTAATATGCAAATAGAGTAGAGGAGGAACCACTGTTCTGAACTCTTCCACTTTTATTGACTTATTCTTCAGCTTTGTTTTCTTATCAGTCTAATCTTCCTATTTCCAGAGAAAATTATCCCTACATTTTTAGCCATGAATGGGACCTTTGATGGCATAATAATGGTCCAGAAATATACAGTATAGCACATTTTCGTATAATAGAACTTAAGCATAGTCTAGTCCAATTTATATTTGCCAATTTAGAACCCCTTCTACAAGTATTGTATATTTTAAGAATCTAGTCAGACTTAAGTGATTGCAAATTTAAATGGTTGTGTATTTTGAATGCATAACACATGATCACCTATAGGAACAGTTTTAAAAGTGGTGCTTGTTAAAGTAGAATTTTCAAAAAGGTAAAATTATTACTCATGCAAATATAAAATGAACATGTGTTGAAGATTTTCTTCAACTCATTAATTAGGGAAACAGTAAAATGTAAAACAGTCCAAAAGCATTTGAGAAACTAGATGCATAGACAGTTTCATAGATTACTTGCTTAGATAAAAGAAAAATGGTTAGTTTATAACAGGACCATATCCTGTAATCTTTGGGGTTATCTTTTCCACTGGTCAGAAATTATGTCTGTCTTTATTCAACAAAGTTCTAGACATTAACCTCCTCCTGTAACAAGTTATAAAAGGGCCTGGTAATGGAAAGTCAAGCCCAGGGCTGTACTGAAAGAACACCCAGTTATTCCTTTGCTATTTCCAGACTCCAGAGAATTTTCCAACCTGATTATATTCCCAGAAGACAACTTACAGA